ACCAGAGAGATTACAAAATCTAGAAGGACCCTCCTATTGAAGGAAGAAATCTAGTACATTATTAAGACATATTCCCCATTTATCAGTGTACTTCTCCCTTCTAAGTTATAACCACAGGACTTAGCATCTGCCTGTATCAAATATGAGGCATCTCCCCTTCTCCATCCCACCAACCTCAGTGTATACCCTCCTGGGAAAATCTTTTTTAAGAAGGGAGGTACTAATGGGTACAGAATGGTTCACCAAATGGATTTATTACAGTTTTCTTAGCCATTCTTTAATACTGGGATATATAAGCGGTTTTTTTTTCTTTCTCTATTTTTTTTCCTTGCCATTACAATAACGTCACAATGAAAATCTTTGTGCATAAAGCTTTTCCTCTATTTAAGATTCTTAGGATAAATTCTCAAAGCTTAAGCTTACTAGGTCAAAGTATATGAAGATTTTAAAGATGCTTGATATTTAATGTTCATAATGCTTTACAAAAAAGGGAAAATTACTTTCTTTTTATTTTGGAATCTATAAGATAGCATTTACTCGAGAGATTTGCCTTATTGTAGTATTGCTCAGTTCATATTAAAAGGATTTTGTTTACTGAGTGTTCATTGCCTGGTGGGGGGGAGGGAGATCAAGAGAGTCAACCGGTTTGGCATTGAAATCCACTCCAGATGATTCGTGGGTGGGCATGTCTCTGATAAATAACCAAAGATGGGAACGTTATTATAGGAGATAAAGGGAAAGTACCACAATTAATTCTCAAACCTAACTCTCATCTCAGAAGATAAATTCTGCCCAATAAACTCCCAAAACCATAAAGGTAAATAGCACCTGTGTCAGGTGCAATCCTGGAGGAGCTTTGGTTTGATGTATCAACAAGGCGCATCTCGTCGTAAAGCTTCTCAGCAGATCTCTTACTCCACCTCAGAGAGCTGGTGGTTGGACCAGAGTTCTGGCAGCTGCTGCCGCTGCCACTAGCAAAACCCAAATGAATAGTTTGGCTAAGCCTCTGTTTGTAACAATGTTGGCTTAATTCTGGATCATGCCCTAAACTAAGCATGAAGATTAGACTGTTTCACCCCGGCTATGGCCTCTGATTACACTGCATGGTGACCACTGCCACTTCCTGTTTCCCCGCCAACTGCCCTTTGTGCACCACCCAAGCTGACTGGCTGTGGGGTGAAGGGGCAGAGAAGGAACGAGCCAAAGAGCAAGACGTAGGACACTAACGTGACCCAGAGGTCACTCCACACCATGACATTTTAACTGGAAAATTTTCGTGGTCATCTGGGTCACTTGATCTCACCCTTACTGGGCCCAAAGATCTCTTTAATAATCAGATGAAAGTGGTCAAACCCTCTCTCCAGAAAAATGCACCTCCTCAAATTTTGGATACAATCCAGGATATTTTACAACTCCCTGACAGCCATCCACCTCGACTAAGCCTGTTCTTTTGCAGATGAGGATATGGAGACCCAAAGGAGGTGCAGGGTCTTGCCCAGGGTTACACGGAAGAGAAAACTGAATTCAAACTCAGCTCTCCTGATTCCCAGTGTAGGACCCATCAGCCCATACTCTGAGGTTTCCACTCTACATTGAGCCCTATACTGGGAATTATGGAAAGTTAGGATGCTTACAACCAAGGAAATAGAACTCCAGCTCATGAAAGGAAGCTAAAATCTATTAGTAAGCAATATTCCTGCCATAGATTCCTCCTTGGAAAGTAGAAGCTAATGCCTTCCATTAATTCAGCAGGCACTTATTGAGCACCTAAGAGCATCTCCTAAAATCTCTAATCATTGAGAGATTAATTATTTATTAGAAATTAGGGCTCTTTGTAATCTCAAGCCTGTAGAGATTGTTGAGGTCCTCAAAGTGATTTTTTGTGGCTTTGTTCAGGTGGTGGGAACCTCACCTCACCCTGAAACATTTACTGAAAGGTGCTTGGTATTTCTGGGACTTCAATGTGAAAATTGTGTCATATTAATGAAGGGGACCAGAGTTGAACTGAAGGGTAGCTAAGTAGAGTCTACTGCAGCCTTAGCTATTCAGCAAAAGAGCAGAAAAGCACCAAGTCTTTGGAGAGTTCCCAGTAACAGCTCCTCAGGACATACATTTTATAAGTAGCAGGAGGAGAACCAGATTCCCAATTTCATCTTTCTGGAAAGAAGCAGGAAGCACTTTTGACTGATATTGATCTTCTCGGTTGGGTGCCAAGAGGCAGCCTTTTATCCCGGGAGGAGCCCAGTTATGAAGGCTGGAGACTTGCCCTGAATTTGAGCTTCTCTTCTGACTGGCTCTGTGACCTTGCGCAAAGCTCTTTACTTTTTTGAGCCTTGGTTTTCTCATCTGAAAATTAGGAATAACACTACTATCCTGATGATGCAGTTGTTGAGTCAACGTAAGTGACTCCTCTCCCTGGCTTCACAGGCTATTCTTTCTTTTGTAGCAAATACTTTAGTCTGCCTTGTATTTTTGGGAATAGCTTCCCAGTCTGTCTCTCCCACTAGATGGTAACTCTTTCAGGGCAAGAACTTCGCCCTCCTTATCTTTGTAGCCCCCAAAGCTGAGGACAGCACATTTGTGCAGTGAGGGTATCAGTCAGGGCCCCATCAGGAGGCATAAGCCATAAAATAGTTTGAACAGGGAAGCGTTATATAAGAAATTAGTAAACTTTGATAGGAGTAACTATAAAGGTGTAAAGAGAACTCTAAAGGGTACCTAAGCTGAGAGAGAATACATGAGGAAGGACAAACTTGGAAGGGGCCCCTCTCCACGTCTGTGACTCAGACATCACTGGAGAAGCTGTGGTCATAGCCCACTGGGTGGTGGAGAAGTTTGCTGGATTTCCTGGACCACGGCTGGTCCACAGTTGCTGGTCAGCAGAAAACAGCCCTCTGAGTGCAAGTGAGATGAGACTGGTGGGCAAATGTACAGCGTCAGGGCGCCCCTTCCAAGGCTAAGCTTGGAGTGCATGGTGCCTACATCAGGACGGCCACCGTGAGGGCCAGGGCTGCGAGGTCACCAAGCAACTATGCACTCTGGGCATGCGAGGAGGACAGAGCACTACTGAATGTCTCCACTGACAGGCTCTGCAGCAGGAGTAAGATGCAAACCAGGAAGAGAAGCCCCCTTCTTCCTACCGGGCCGTTCCAGTACATGGCTTAATGTTGTACTCACTGTAAAGGAGAAGTGCAAGCAGGGTCCAGTCCATTATCTCAGAGCAGAAACTAAAGGGCGAGTTTGGAGCTGAGAGGCGATAATGTGATAACTGGTATAATGGCTGATCCAAATGTTTGAATTAAATTAAGAAAAGCCACATAATCTGTCAATAATTCCTTTAATTCCTGTTTATTTCCCCTTCTTTCAGTCCTGTAAATTTTACCACCAATAAATGTCAAACCTCTCTAACTTCTTTTGTAATTTACTGTCTACAGGCTCACTTCCCTCTGGGGTATTCCATTTTGTTTTGTTTTCTTAATGAGGCACATATCTTTCTTCTCTTGGCACACACTTAAAAGAGACATGCAAAAAAAGAAAGAGAAACACTCGTGCAAGCAACATCAGACCCAGTATTAGTTTTCCACTCAAACTTGACCTGGTTTCCCCACCATCTCTCTATTTCATTTCCAAGCAATCCACCTGTCCCTCCCAAACACTTTAGGATTGTCCCAAAAGACTTGACTTCAAGTGGCAATGGAAGGAATCAGAGCTGATCCAAGAACCAGTCTTTCCCTGCCTTTGAGGAAAAAGCCGTGGCCACCTCAGGTCAGACTGGGGAGTTAATCTCCTTGGACAAATCTGAAGAGTCTAGTCTCCAACCATTTTAGAAGAAAATGAGGTGACAGAGCAAACAGCAGACTTGGAGGATAATTACCAGCACAAATATTACTCAGAAGGCATTTGGAAAGGATTAATAGTTTCAACTTGAGAATCAAGCCGAGGAGAGTGTAGCATGTAAAGAGCCTTGGAGATGCTGTCCTGTGGGAGCTCATGTCATTAATAGGCACCAAATTTGTGTCAAGGCAATGTGCTTAGGCATCAACTACCCTGTTCTTCCAAATTATTTCAGTCTCTTCTGAAGAGTCAGATTTAATTAGTGTTAAAGGATGACTCCCCTGCAGGAATTAGCAGTGAGGTGGGAATACAGTTAAGGCTTCCTCCAAGGATGAAGTGGTTTTGCAAACTTAATCTGTTTACTCTCCTTCAGAAGGGCCGGGAAGACCATCCCTTTAGACCAGAAAAATGGCAATGGGAAAAACTAGAGGAACTTGATCTGCCCACCAAAATTTATATCTATATATCTGGCTGTCTTATGGGCTTTTTTTGCAAGTGATGGACATTCTCGGCCAGTGGAACCTGGAGTAGACTGGCAGAAGCAGTGTCCATCTTTCCAAGCTCCACCTTCTACCCCTATGTGTACTCAGATGATCTAGAATAAGACACGTGTTTATCCCTGGGTAATAGGATTGTAGACAATTTTTATTTTCTTCTTTTTGTTTATCTGTATTTTCTGCAATGTGCCTGTATTATTTGTGAAATTAGATGTATAGAAAAATTTTAATGAAAAACCCCACATTTTTCTTCTCTAAATCTTGGGCTATATTATTGCTTTTTGTCTCATATCTAGCCAGACCTTTTCCAGCCTCCTCATGCCCCTGTTCAGACTTACTGCCAAAAATCAGTGTACTTCATTTTTGGAAGAGATTTATTTCTTTACTCTTGAACTTCTAAAAACAGCCCACGTTTTCTTTTACCCCTCACCAAGTGGTGATTGATGCTACAGCTGCCTCTGATGTGACAAAATGTAGGCAGTGAATAAAAGTCTTTCATGATTCTGGCACATTCCGAGGCAGGTGGAAAGCACTAGCCAGGGGCACTGAGCCATGTGAGGATGCTCTGTGGGGTGTCATTCCGCCTCGGGCACCGTGGTGCAACCCGCGGGCATCTCAAGAAGATCATCTGCTATCACTGACCTTTGATATGCTGCTCTGCTCTTTCAGATTTTTGACAATGAAGCCAAAGACCTAGAGAGAGAAGTTTGCTTTATTGATATTGCCTGCGATGAAATTCCAGAACGTTACTACAAAGAATCTGAGGTAAGCAGTAGATGAGATGACATGTGGAAGAGATTCATTCATTCAACAAATACTTCCTAAGTGCGTCCTAACCTGGGAGACTTCCGTCTGTCTTTGTGTTGGCTCAGTTTGGTTTGACATCTTGCTGGATTCTTTAATGCAGGTCTCAAAATTAAGTCCCTACTCCTCAGGGCACGTCATTGGCCCTGGCTGCCATTCAATTCAATTTAATCTACTTGTCTTCTCAACTCTGCCATCATTCTGGATGGCAAAATATTCACAAGGCTTGAACCATCCAACACCCTGGCCTCTCTAAAAGAAACAGCAGCCCCCTCTGGCGTCCTCTTTTGCCAGGTCTCTGCACAGCCAGTCTCCCCATCTGCCTGCTCTGTGAGGGCAGAGGCTGGGTTTTATTTGTGTCTTTGGGGTCTAACACAAAGAAAATGCTCAATCCATCCTTTCTGAATGAATACCGAAGCTTTGACAGCTCATCTCAGCACGAAACCTTGCTCTCAAGACAAGAAGCGCCTTCACGACGGCTTCTCCTGTTTTCATCTTGACTGAGAATAGATTTAAGAGAATATCTTTCTCTACAGCTTCCACCCTACCGCTGTTTGCCTTGGTCCGCCCTTTTCATTTCACTGTTGGTGTAAGTCACCATTTCTGTCCCGTTAGTATTTTATTAATGGCTGCTGACAGCACTTGGGTGACCCCCTTGTAAATAACAGCCCAGCCCTGCAACCGCAACAGATGCAGGCTATTTTTGTTGTTTAGCAACATGCAACCAATCACAAGATGTTTGGACTCAGGGCCCCAGACTCATCCTTGAGCCGTAACACACGGACCTTGAAACTCTTCTCTCAGGTTCATTAAGGCCGATTTAAGACATAGTAAATAAACTCATTAAAAAGGAATTCCACCGTTACACAAACTGGCCTGCCAGTACGGTTCAGATTGTTTTGCCTCTGCATTTTAGGTTTTGTTTGCGTATAAAAGTCTAACCTGATCTTAGCAAATGCTTGGCTGCTTAATTGCAGCCGTGCGCTCTGCAGCTGCTGTCCATTGAAGGAGCGGGGAGAGGCTGATGTGAATTACTCTCAGTTTGACTCAGAGGCTGAGCTTTTTAACGTATTCAGTTTACACTATGCTCTGCAGCCAACCACACTTGTGAATTTTCAGAAAAACAAAATGAAATGCTCTCTGCCTAACCGTGGACCCGCTGAAGAGAATAAACGTGGTCTCCCCTTCTCTCACTCTGTGGAGACACTTAAAGGTTTCATATCAAGTCCACCAATACTTATGGGGCCTCCGTCATGTGCAGAGCATCATGCAAGACATTGGGTAAAGCTGATGCCCCATTGCCCCTTGGGCCTGGGGGGGCCACTGTCCTACCTGGGTGTCCTGGCCTCCTTGGAAGCTCTGGGCCTTCCAGGAAAGCAGTGTTGCCAGAACACTCTGAACTAATTTCACTTGTCCTCTGAGGGCTTTGGTGTAGTCCTGTGTGGTACTTCAGGAGTTCCCTCCTGATTCTGTAAAAGTCTTGGGGCAAATATGGGATACTACTGACATCACCAAGTGTCATTTCTAGTCAGCAGGTGGCTGACTCATCTCCCTGCACTTTGTGCTCCCAAGAACCACCACTGGAAAGTTTCGTGTCATTTACACAGACACTCAAGAGCTTTTTCTTTGTGCCCCACAGTCATTCATTTCCCTGGGTCATACAGTATTCTTTTCTGGATGCAGTTTGACCAAGGAAATGAGAGGTGAATTGTCATTCATTCAATAAATATTTACTGAGTACTCATTGAGTGTCACATACAATATGAAGACACGGACATGGCAATGAGCAGAAGAGACACTGAGGGTCCCTTCCCTCAGAACACTTCCAATCTAGCAGGGGAGCCAAACAATAAAGAAATAATTACATAGGTACCTATGGAGTTAAAAGTTGCAAATGCCAGAAGGAAGTGAGCAGGAAGGGACCACGATAGGAGAACTGAATTTAAGAGGATAGGATCAGGAAAGATGTTCTGGAAGAATTGACAGTTGTGCTGAGACCCACAGGATGAAAACAGCTGGGGGATGGTGCTCCAAGTGGAGGGAACAGCATGTGCGGGAGTCTCAAAGTGACATGCATGAGGAAGTGAAAGGAGGCCAGCATGGCGGTGGCAGCAGAAACAAGAGGAAGAATGGCACAAGAGAGGTTGGAAAGGAGGATGGGGCCGTGCAAGACACTGAGATTTTATTCAAGTGCAGTAGAATGCCTTTGAAAAAGCTAAAGCTGGGGCATCATATGATCTGATTTGTGCTTTTAAGAGATTGCTCTGGATGGAGAATGGGCTGGAAAGGAGCACAGTGGAAGTCAGGAAACCACTGAGGTCATTAGAGTTATCTATGTTATTGTTTCTTTAGCTTATATCTTGGCTTGAATTGGCAGATGGGGACCAGATGGTTTTGAGGTCTATTTTGAAGATAGAATTGACAGAGATTGGTGATGGACTGGATATGAAGATGAGAGAAAAGGAAGAGTCAGAATAACCTTAAGGTTTATGGCTTGGACAACAGATGGACAGGAGTGAGAAAAGGATTGGATTTTGCAGAAAGATGGTTGGACTTTTTGATACCAACGAGATATCTAGAATAAGCAGAAATGAGTCTGGAGCTTAGATGAGAGATCTGGGCTGGAGATAAATTTGGGAGTATTTGGCAAATAGAAGATAGTTAAAATCCTGGGGCTAGATGAGAGAGAGAAAGCACAAAGTATAATGGGGAAGGGGCTCAGATCCGAGCATTAAGGGATGGCAGCATTTGGAGATCAGGAAGAGGATGGGGAGGCCCCGGGAACCTACAAAGAATTGGACAGAGAGTTAGAAGGAGACTGCATCCAGGAATGCAAGTTCAAGAGGAAGAGAGGGATCAGTTGTGCTGAAGGCTGCTGAGAGATCCAGTAAGATGGAATGGAAAACCATCCTCTAGAGCGGTGCTTCTCAGCTGGGCACGGTCTTGCCCCACAAGGACGCTTACAATGTCTGGAGACATTTTTGATTGTCACAACTTGGAGGTGCTACCGGCAACTAGTGGCCAGAGATGCTGCTAAACATCCTGTCATGTACAGGACAGCCCCCCACAACAAAGAATTATGTGGCCCCAAATGTTAATAGTGCCGAGGCTGGGAAACTCTGCCTTGAAGGAAAAGGTCACTGGCGATGAATGGAACTGTGGAGTCACCTCTCACACTCAGAGCCACCCCTGCCTGTTCCGGAGCCACCCCTGCCTGTCCCGGAGCCCTTACTTAATGGATGTGGAAGAAAGGACCCCAGAGGGCTCAGTCGTGCACACTGTCAAGCGCTGCTTCCCGGAAGATTACTGGCCGACGGCACAAGGAGAATTCTTCCTCACTAGCCCTGGCGGTTAGGCCACAAAGGAAAAGGCATAATTGGGAGCCTGCAATAAAATCTTAGGAAAAGTATGCTCCGTAGGGCCCCTTTGTGACCCTAACCCCACCATCATTCGACTTCCAGAATCCAGGCTGCAGTATGAACCCACTAGAAGGGAGAGAAGTGTGTTTCCTGGGCCATTCTGGTTGTCGTGTCTGCTGTGAATAGCATTAGCCAGGGACTGAGAATAAGGGGAACAACATTCAGCAAACAAACCATTTCCAAAGAAATATCTACTGGACACACTGTAAATCATTAACATCCTCCTCCCTACCACAACGGTTTCCTTCTCAAATGAAATCTGACCTTGTCATTTTCTACTTAAAACCTCTCACTGGCTAGGAGGCCCTTACATGGCCCTCTGCCTTCTCCAGTCCCTGGTCCTCCCCACCTCTGTGCCCCTCAATTGTCGAGCAAAGAGTCCGTCTTTGTGGTTTAACTCAAACATGACTCCTCGCCTGTGTACTTTCCTGGGTATCCTGCTCCCCCACCCACCATCTGCAGGCCAGCGGAGTTCTGGTCTGTGGCTTCTCCATCACTCTAACTCTGGATTATATCATGAGCTCCAGGAAGACAAGAGCTATTCTCTTCATCACCATCCCTCGGCAGCTCGCGCAGTACCAGCACATAGCCAATGCTCACCGAGCAGTTGTTGAATGAATGATTGAGAGTCAGGAGTTTTATTTTTTCCTTCCAGCAGTGACAATTTCAGAGCAAGCGCTATCAAAAATGAATTTGTTGCATTAAGCCAACAGTTGTGAATCAAAGTTCTTTTTTCTTTTTTTCATTTAATCTAAGGCGTACAGCTTTACGGGCTTTTTCTTCCAATTCGTCTTTGTAAGTTGACTATGTCAGCATCGTAAATGGGAATACATTTTCTGTGGACAAAGCTGAAGTGCTGGTGGGCTGATTCTGTTCTGAGGTTTTTGATGCTTATGAATTCAGACCAGGGTTATCTGGGTCACCCCTCTCTATCCCGCTCCTGTCACACACACTGCCATCCAGGCCAAAGAAGGGGACTGAAGCACTTTCTTTTCTTTTTCCATTTCTCCCTGGAAACCTCCAAGCCACACAGTCAAGAATGCCTCTCTCGTTAAGGTGACCAGAGCTGGGAATTTTCCGCTGGGTGCCCCCCCCGGCGGCCCTTGTGCCACCACTAGCCAGGGATTCAGAAGGACGGTCTGGAGACTCAGGGTCAGCGATGGCCCGGCCCAACACTCTCCTTATTCTCATTTTGCAATGCTGCTGTTTCCTATCCACATCAAGGGCTTGAGCTTCAGCTCCCAGGAGCCTCTTAGTCTCAAGTTTTGTTCTCATATCCATTGCGGGACTCTGCAGGGCAGAGCTATATTGTAAAAAAAATTCAGTGTGATTTCTCAGGCACAGAGAGCACCTCCATTAGTCTCAACACAGCCCCACCAAGGCCCTGGCCCCCATCAGAGTTATAAAGCTCTTTGCACCGAGTCACATTAGCACCACCAAAGCAGCAAAGAGGAGGTGAAGCCAAAATCTGAGCAGGTTGTACTTGTTATATGGTCAATACGTGGGCTCTTGCCTCTGCCAAGATTTCTATCCCAAACCTTT